TTGCCACCATTTTTAGAAGACAGATTTTTAGGTTTTTGTTTTTTCTCCTTTCTTTCCTCCAATTCTTCATTGATTTGCTCTGTAAATTTAATAATCCTCTTTAACATTTATTTTCTTATTCTTTTGTGTCCTTTTTAGTTAACTTTCCCCCCAATTTAATTTACCAGCAAAAGCCCTTTAGCAGCTGGTGTCATTATCCTTAGGTTTTTGTAAGTTTAATTAATTTCATATTTATCACCAGTTTTTTTTCTCACCTAAAACTTTTAAATTCCATCTTTTTCTCTAGTTTCAGTAATTTGGAGAATATTTTCTAGTGAATATGGCAGGAAGGGTAGTTGGATGACTAATTTTCTGAATGTTTATCACCACCAAATGTCTTTCAGGTCACTTAGAAGAATGATAGTTGCAGTGTGTAAGAGTTTGTTTTGGAACCTAAACTGTGCAACCCTCTAATCCGACCAGATTCCGTTTGTCTGACTTTACAGACAAAGGAAAAGCCTTTGCTTTTAGGAAGCTGTCCTCTCCTCATATCATGCCTGTTACAATTTACTAGAAGCCATCTTTTCCCCATACTCTAGTGGAAGACCAGAGACTATCTATAGCAGTGCTGCCCACTAGAGCATCCATCCTATGATGCTGGAATTGATCTCTGTCTGCACAATCCAGTACAGTAGCCACTAGCCACATGTGACTATTGAGCACTTGAAATGTGGCAAATGTAACCAAGGAACTGAATGTTTAATTTTAATTAATTAAATAGCATCATGTAGCTAGTAGCCAGCATATTGGATAATGTACATCTAGAGAGTTTGATGGGACCAGCAAGGGCTTTGGAGTTGTACAAATTTGGACTCAGCTCCAGGGGTGACACTTCCTAGTTTTTGATCTTGGGCTAGTTATTTAAGTTCTGAGTTCCAATTTTTTTCATCTAATGGGGGCTAAAATTAATTTCTACCTATGAGGGTTATTATAAGAAATACAGGAAATCTACAGCATCTGGGACACTGTTTAGTACATAGTAGATGTTTAATAAATGATAGCTATTGTCAATATTATCTTTACTTGCTTTTATTTCTGCTTTTGGAATAAATCCTATGAACTTATATTTTCCTGATAAACCCAAGTAATAATTTTTCTGTAAGATTAGATATTTGAGTTCTCCTGGGTATAGGGCCCTGTCCTGAGGTCTGGTGATAAGAAATGACCCTGGCGTCAAGCGCACAGATGCATGCTGTCTTTTGGGGAGACGGGACATGGGATTAGAACAACACTTGACAGACCAAGCTTAGAAAAGGAGACCAAAAGTCCCAGACTTTGTAGAGGGCAGCCTGAGCACCCAAGGCTACAAAAAATTCCAGGAAGGAGAGCATGGGAGGGACAGTGAGGTGCAACTGGATCTTAAGACATTATTAGTGAACAGTAAATATGAGTGAAGAAAGGGAAGAAAGCATTTCTGAAGAAAAGAAGCCAGTGAAATCATGGAGTGGCCTTTATAGGGCAGTACATAAGACCACCTGGCTATATATGGATAAACAGTAAAAAAAAAAAAAAAAATACACACACACACACAACTAGAAAAGTGGGCAAGGAGCAGATTGGGGGCGGGGGACTGAATATCCTGCTGTGAAGGTTGGGTAAGAGAAAGTGTAGAAAGGTTATTTGAATAAGAACATGATGTCTTTAATGAACACTCCTGGCTAGAGTACTACTCACAGATACTGTGTAGAGAGCTGAGGTTCATTTGTTGACTCAGCAAATATTCATGAAGCACCCCCAAGGCCAGAGTGGGGATTTGGGAGAATTTAGGTTTACTGAGACTGATCCCAGAACCCTGGGATCCCTACAGTTGCAGGGACAGAGGACAGAGGCTTATCCAGGTGGGCATAAGATGCCAAGTGGCTCAAGTAAGGTCACTCCTAGGAATTCCCAGCTAGTGCCAGACACTGACACAGGGCATCCAAGAATAGGAAGAGCGAAAGGCTCAGGGGCACTTGGTACTGTTCTGGGAAGTGGGGCTCAAGAGCAGTGCTACAGGCCACAGAGAAGAAGTATGATGGGACTGAGGTACGGTGTGATCCAGAGAGCTCACGGGATTAGAGAGCCAAGGCAAAAGTTTAGTCAGATGAATTGGGGCAGGACAGTTGGTAATGAGATCCGGGTTTTGGAGAAGATAAAAGCAATTTCTAGAAAGGGATGGAGGAGTAAGGACACAGTGGTCAGTGTTAGACCTGGGACAGAACAATGCATGCAATGTGAGAGATGTGGGGAAGAGGCTGGAGCCATTTCTATACCTGTTGCAGCTGGAAACCAGGACAGGACATACTCTCCATGTGGGGACAAGGCTTAGCTATGGGAACTGGGGAAAGCAGAAGTCAGAAGAGGAGATGGGCCCAGTAGAGATGTTAAATTCCAGGTCTTAACTTGGTCCTCATTTCCCTATTGTCTGTTTACCTCTGGAGACTCTGGTCTCCAAAGTAGAAAGAGGAGCTATTCTAGTTGTATGAGGAGGGCAGCTGATGCTAACAACTGACTTTACTCTCCCCACCCTACCTCCTATCCCCACAGGACAGCTTGGGTCCCCATTGGCTTTCTGGGGCATTCTAGGCTTCAAAACCAGGCCAGGCCAAGTCCATTTTGTTTTCCCTCTTCTCCATTTCCACCCAGCCAGATTCTGCTGCCTAGGTCAGAGAGCTGAAGCCGGGACTACTCACTAATGAGGTCTGGGCCAGCCTCACTGCCTGCTTGGATCCTAGGGTGTCGAGTGTAGGAGGAGAGGAGCCAAGCACAGTTGTATTCTGTTAAAAAAACAGTCTAATTCAGCTACAATGTGCGTTCAGAATAGTCTGAAACTCGAGCTGGTAATTGACTTATTTCAGGCAACTTGCAAAGAAACCAGATCTCCACCAGCTAGAAAGGATGGATGTGTTCTTGGGTAGTGCAAAAGTATCTGTATTATGAAAAGCAAACATGAGAACTGTGGCAAGAAATCAAGGTTTCCTCTGTAGGTTTTTTATTGGTTACATTTAAAATAACATCCTGGGGGGAAATCGAAGGGGGAGAAGAACCATGAGAGACTATGGACTCTGAGAAACAAACAGGGTTCTAGAGGGGAGGGGGGTGGGGGAATGGGTTAGCCTGGTGATGGGTATTAAGGAGGGCACCTACTGAATGGAGCACTGGGTGTTATATGCAAACAATGAATCAAGGAACACTACATCAAAAACTAATGACGTATGGTGATTAACAACATAATAAAATAAAATTAAAAAAAAATAACATCCTCTAATTGTCCTAAGAAGCCCCCAGTGGAGCATCCTGAAAACATCTGCTCAATTTGAGGACTAAGGGGGTGCCTGCCTCATCCCCTCAGCGGATGTGTTGTTTGGTTTGGGATTTGTCAGTCTGGAGAGCTGAGGGCTCTGGGAAGCTCAGGCCTGGCAGATTTCCCCCACCTGCCTAAAATATAGCCGAGGTGGGTAGAGGCCCCTTCCCAGCCTCATCCTGTGCCTCCACTCTACAGCCCCTGATCCCCAGGGGGCTGAGTGGGGAATGAGGACAGCTGATAAGCCTGACATTATTGACTTTATGGAGAGTATTCAATGAATTGACTTTCTGTAAGAAGGCTGCACTCTTATCTGTTGCCCACAGAGCATCCAAATCCCCATCTAGGGGACCCATTTGATGAGTCATGTCTCTTAGACAAAGACCAAAGAATATAAAGAGGAGAAGGGGAGTCACACCCCACCTCTTCCTTTTCTCCAGTACCTGGTTCTGCTCACCCCCAACCTCCTTGCTTTCCCACTGCCCTTGGGGTTATTGGCCGGAAGTAGCACTTTCCGCTCCAGTCCTTTGGAGTGAAGGCCAAACCAGCCTGGTCTTGAGACTGTCAGCAGCTGGGCACACCCAGGGCTGTGCATCTCTCTAGTTGTAACTATGGGAAGAAAAGCCCACTCATTTGAGGCAGTTATGTGCCCCGCTTTCTGTTGCAATGGTCAACATTTGCTCTGGACAGGCCTCAACACCAGGTGTCCTGAGGGAGATATTTGTGTGCATGTGTGTGTCTGGGTGTTACCAAGGGGTCCTGGGTCTGGGGAGCTGGAGAGTGGCAATTAACTGTGAGAGAGAACCTGATGCTCAAGAGAAGCTTTTCTTTCCCCTCTTTGTTATCTCCCTCATCCAGCTCTGGGCTCTGTTTGCTTCAAATACTAGAAGGAAATAAATAAGTGGGAGCCGGGATGGCTGAGTTGGGCAAATGAAAGAAAAAAAATGAAAGTGCCCTCTGGAGGATATTAGAGGCATGTGTTCAGACTCTCCATTTAGTTTTTGGATAGAGTTTTTCTGGCAATAAAAATGAAAACACAATTGTTTATTGAGCAACTATGACTTTTATTAGATGCCTGTTCTCACCGTTTTTAAGCATTTACTCCAAATCATTCAGTGAATCTTCACAGTAAGCCATGAAGCCGAGGTTTCCAATTCACAGCTGAGAAAATTGAAACTGGGAGACTAGTGTGGGAGCAAGGATTCAGACACCAATCAATCTGCCTCTGCAGCCACAGAAAAGGCTTTCTCTTAGCTGTTACTCACTTGGTATTGCTTAGTACTTTATCCCACTTAATTCATAGCACATCAATGAGTATTTGTTATTCCCATGTTATAGAAAACAGCCTCAGAAGGGTAAAATATGTTTGTTTGTTTGTTTGGCAATTCTACCAGCTTTTTGTTTCTTAAATAAGTAGCCAGTTTAAGTGGGAAGGCAACAAAGCAGCATGGGCCTGTAAAGCAATTAATAAATCCTCTACTTGCCATCAGAACCGGTAACCTTATCACTGTACTTATCCCAGACAAGGCGCAGGATTAGACAGCACACAGAGAAAACAGAGCAAACAAGAAAAGGCATCAAGAAGACAGTGTTACAACAGTGCAGGAAGTCTTTGCAAATCTTTGAAATCTGATTGTAGATGGATCACTCACCCTTCCCCTCTTCTTTATTCAAACAGGGCCTTATATTTGGATCCAGTGGAGGATCATCCCTGAGATTCAATGTTGGCCTTCTGAAATGCAGGATGTCTGATGGCAGGCTATGGCAATCTTCCAAGTAAGGATAACTTTGTTTACAGAGTGATATCGTTTCTCTTCCTTTGTCAACTAAAGTCACTGTATGCTGTAGGGGAAAACCCAATGGACAGCAGGTTTGTTTCCTTCTAAATCAACACCACTTTTTCCTTGATTGTTCCTATCTGTGAGTATGTCCAGGGCCACAAGACCAGTGTACATCAGAGACTCTGGCCTGCCGATTCTAGCATCCCTCCTTTCCTGTCATGGCTAGGGAATGACCTCAGGAAAGTCCAAAAATGATGATAAAGCAGCCAAATCTCTCTTTCCTTATGAGAGAAGTCCAAAGCTCTCACTCATCCAAGCACCCTTCTCAGCGCTCCCATAGAGATATGGACCATGTCAGCTTACTTCTCCTTCCAGATGCCCTGGTTTCCTACATCACCTGCTCTCCTCTGCAGCTGCTTGCTTTATTACTTTTTTATTTGCAAGAGGTTAGAGAAGGGGAGGCAGGAAGAGCTTTGGAGGAGGTGAGCTAATCACTAAGTGGCTCTGTGGGTCCTATGAATGGAATGACATTAATGTCCATGAGAATTTACAGCCTCTGCTGGCTCTGGAAAGATGTTTGTATAACGACCACTGGTAAAACAGAGTCAGCTGCGTGTGAAGTCTTGCTTCTTTGGGCTTACTTTTTAGTATTTCACTTGCTTGGGTGCCATGTTTTGTTTTGTCAAGGATGATAACTGGTTATGTCACTTTATAATCAAAATATATAATTTCTCGTATTAAATGGAAAAAATGGGTGTAATGCCTTGCATGACACCTAGCACCCAGTGCAAAATAATGGGATAGAGAATTTGGCACCTGACCCCCAGTTGGTGCTTGATATCACCCTCTAGGTCAAGCAGCATCTGCTCTCCTGCTCTCCTGTCACAGCCTGCTAGCTAGTCTCCTCACATCTTTTCTCAACCCCCTGTGTCCAGCAGCCAGAAGGCTCCTCTCTTCTCCTTAAAACAAACAAATAATCATCCAAACCCCTCCCATGGCCTTGGAAGCATTCGTTTCATAGAAACAAGTTATGTGTCTTGGGACAGAAAGCGGGGCAGGCTGGGGGCAGCTGTTTGGGGAAATGAGTCAGTGCTGTCTTGTATTCATTCAACAAATGTCTTATCAAGCAGCTTTTATGTGCAGTGAACACAGTTTGTGGGGTTTAGTGATTAACGAAGCTAAGTCCTTGCCCTCTTGACATTTACAGTGTATAGTGGGCAAGCCAATGAGCAAGTAAACCAGAAAGAGATTTGCTTTGAAGGATTCACCATGGTGATGGGGCTCCTTTAAAACACCAGAGTCAAAGGAATTTTAATTTACCAAATAAAGTTTCACAGAAAGATAAAACCTAGGACCAAGAGTCATACCCACACACCTACAAATTAACTGTAAAAGAACGAGCATGGTTTTATTTGGAAAATGCAGAGTAGGTTGTCATAATATAAAATTCATGATAAGAAGCAAGGCAAAGTGGGCCATTTTTATATTGATATGGGGTTTATTCTCTAAATCAATAAAACTTCCTGAGTCTTCATGTGTCAAACGCATTGTATCCTAAAATATAAAGATCTAAAGCAAGCAGTCCTGGAAAAACTGAAAGGAAGGAACAGACATGGCGCAATAGAGGGAAATTTTCATACAACTCTGTCAAAGGGATTAAAACAGACCAAAACTCCCAAGAAGGATGTGAAGGATCAATTTAATGGATGTATATAAAAACATTTTATTTTTCAAACAGGATATTTACCTCCTTCTCTATTGCTTATGGATCATTTATAACAGTTAATCATATGTTTTACCAAAGAGAAGCTCTCAATAAATATCCCAAAGCAAAAAATATACAGAGCATATCTTTGACTATACCACAATGAAATTAGAAATTAATGGCAAATTGTTACCAAAAAGTACAATAAAGAAATTTTAGGGGCACCTGGGTGGCTCTGTCGTTAAGCATCTGCCTTCGGCTCAGGTCATGATCTCAGGGTCCTGGGATCGAGCCCCGCATTGGGCTCCCTGCTCTGCGGGAAGCCTGCTTCTCCCTCTCCCACTCCCCCTGCTTGTGTTCCCTGTCTTGCTCTCTCTCTCTCTCTGGCAAAAAAAAAAATAAATCTTAAAAAAAAAAAAAAAAAGAAAATTTAAAAATACTTTCAAAAAGAAAAATTAAAATAAACAACAGATGTTAGAAACTAATGACAACGGTAGTATAAATGGAAACACAGAATGACACCGAAGGTATATCAGGAAAAAATTCATAGCCTGAAAATTAATAAAATAAACATTCAATCTAACAGTGGGAGGTGGAGAGAGAACAAAATAAACATAAGCAAATGACAAAGAGCAGATTTAATAAAGATAGCATAGACATTAATACATTAGAAAATCATAAAAATGTTGGAACACAGAGGTAGTTTTCAAAAAGAACAATAAAATGTATAAACTTCTGCAAAGCTAATCAAGGAGAGAATGCATAATGTGAGGACTGTGAAAGGCAACACAAATACAGATACATTTTTTTTTCTTTTCTTTTTTTTTTTTTTTTAAAGATTTTATTTATTTGAGAGGGAGAGCTTGAGCGGGAGGGAGGGGTAGAGGCAGAGGGAGAAGCAGGCTCCCCACTGAGCAGGGAGCCCAATGCGGGACTCGATCCCAGGAGCCTGGCACCATGACCTAAGCCAAAGGCAGATGCTTAACCAACTGAGCCACCGAGGTGCCCCCAGATATATTTTTTAAAAAAATCATCAAATAGCTGTATAAAACACTTTATTAATGATTCTGAAAATGTCAAAGTTTATATGTCAAAGTACCAAAATTAACTTAAGAGATAGAACACTTGAAGGAACAAAACCTACCTAAAAGGATTTACTAGTGAATTCTATTAACTATCAAGAACTAGCTAACTCATGTGACGAATAAATTGATGGCTGCATACACAATAGGTGGATGGAAGAAGGGATGGATGGACAGTTGGATGGACGGACAGATGGATGGACGAATGGACAGATGGATGGATGGATTGGCGCCTGGAAATGCAGAATTGGGGATTGAGAAAGGAGTTAAGAATGAGAGGGGAGGAAGGAGTTTTTAAGATTGGGTAAATAAGGCTGATGCTTGACCTCCAGCCAAAATGACCTTGGCCCACAACCACCTGGACTGAGAGAATTCCCTTCTGAAAACCTCAGGTTTGGTCTCTCCTGAAGCTGACAACCCCTGCACATAGGACTAGAGGTCCAGTATTCACCGGCTAATCCAGACAGATCAATTAAGCCAGCAAAACCAGGCTCTCCTAGCGACCTGCCCTTCCCTGGCCAGGAGTCCGCAGGTGCAGTCTCTCCAGGGGGCAGTGAGAGCCATGAATAGTAAGGGTTTTAGCTCCAGCACACAGAGGCGTTTAGCTGCCCAAACTTAATCCCCCAATAATCGGATTATGTAAATTCCTCCTTCAACCCCTTTCCCCTGGGGGACCCAGACCTAGCCCCTAACTCCTGGCACTGGGAGACCAGGATGGGAGAGGGCCCATCATCTGAAGAATTACTGCTAGTGGTATGGGGCCCCAAAATGTTTTCCCATTTTAAAAATGATAAAGGCAACAACAACGTGTAAGACAGTTTTGAGAAGAAAACAGATGTCGACCTTGGTCCCCGTGTGCCAGCACAGGGGTACCCCTTTCTCTGCAGCTCATGTCCAGCTGTGCACAGATTCCCCTTACAGCTTCTTGTTTCATCTTGCATCACACATTTCTGATCTTGTGGTCCCGTTGCCACAATTCTTTTTTACACTCACAGAATATGCTATTAAGCACATATATTCTCTCACAGGTTTTTGGCTAAGATGAAGGGTAGTATAGGTCCTTGGTTTAAAATACAACCTGCGCTCTATCAGAATTGTGATATAACAGGGCCTGGTAGAAAAGCCTGGGTACTGGGAGGACGCAGTGCCCCTTCCACAGCACACAGAGAAGACAGAAGGGCAGAAAGAGGACAAATCGGGGATGTTTGCTGGAAATATCAAGTTGTGTTTCTAAAGGCCCTCTTGTGCAAAAGTTGACCAATTAATTTTCTCCAACTCACCCTCCAATCCATCCTTTGCACTGCCACCAGAATGAGCCTTGTAACCTGTAAATCTAAACATATCGTTCCCATCTTCAATCCACACAGTTGGCTTCACATGGACTATCTTCTCCTCCACTCCTCCCCAGGTGATTCCGGCAGTCTTTCCCACCCTTCCACCCAGGTACCCAGGCAACTGGGACCCCTGCCTTTTCAGATGTGCTTTAGATGGCCCTGTACTAGCCCTCCTCCAGTACCCATCTGGGGCCCATTTTCCACATTCTAGATCACATTCTTGGTATTCAGGACCCCTGGATTTAGACCCCACTCTGGGTATCCAGGACCCCTGAATTTCTGTTCCAGTGGCCCTGAGCCCAATTTCAGAGCCTGCACAGGGCTCTTCCTTAGGTCCATGTGGGCTGGGAGTCCACATCATTCACTCAAGGCCCTTCACAGAGCAGAACAGAGCTGGGCAGTGGGTAAAGAATGGGGATGGGTCAGGAGTCTCCAATTGTACCTTTGTCCTGGATCCCACAAATGTCAGGGGCAGCCCTGCCTCAGGGCCTGGTTTAAATGCCATCCCTCCCACAAGCCATCTCTGATCCTCCAGCTAGAATCTTGTGCCTCCCCAGTTCCAAGATCACACTCTCTGGCACTCAGGACTTTCTTTTGTATTTAGTCATTTTTGTCATGCCTTTCCCTCCCAAAGGCTGTGAACTCCTTGAAGGCAGATGGAACGTTTTCTTCACCTTCTTGCCTCCTGAAACTCTAGCAATGCATGCAACAGCTTTTTTTATTTATAATAAGAACTGAATTTTTTTTTTTTATGGAGGGGGACAAAGAACCCCAAAGTCTCAGTGGCTTACAACAGCAAAAATTTACCCCTCACTCATGTTACATGAGGGCTGTGGTTGGTTTTAGGTTTGCTCTGTGGCTTTCAGCCTGAAAG